GTTTAATCTCTAGTGTTCATGTATCTTATTTTTATTTTTTAAAAACGAGGTTTTATTCTGTTGCTCAGGCAGGAGTGCAATGGTGCAATCATAGCTTACTGTAGCCCTGAACTCCTGTGTTCATGTGATTATCTGCCTTAGTCTCCCAAAGTGCTGGGATTGCCTGGTCTCCAATTTCTTAAATAAGTAGCCAAGAGAATCAAAGTTCTGACATCCAGATACATTACAGAAAGCAATATTGCATTGACTCTGCAAGGTAATAAGAACCTTTTTATTCATATCTAGAGTAGTCCTTTCTGTAAGTATGCTTACATTCTAAAGTACATATAAAAATAACAGGTAAAAACAAAAACTCAATCCAAAACAAGAACTATTTTGAATCAATTTTATATTTAAATAAAACATGTAACTGTTTCTTTTTTTTGCTAATGTGAAATGCTCTCAGTGACTTATCTTTAAAAGCAGAACAAGTGGGACACGTGTATATTCCCAGTAACTTTTCAGAGCACATACACATCAATAAACTATTTCAAAAATAAAGACCAAGAGGAAATGCTAGAATTTTATGTGCTAACAGAAAACACCAGACTGGCTGGAGGCGGTAGCTCACCCCTGTAATCCCAGCACTTTGGAAGGCTGAGGCGGGTGGATCACCTGAGGTCAGGAGTTCAATACCAGCCTGGCCAACATGGTGAAACCCTGTCTCTACTAAAGATACAAAAATTAGCTGGGCATGGTGGTGGGCACCTGTAATTCCAGCTACCTGGGAGGCCGAGGCAGGAGAATTGCTGGAACCTGGGAAGAGGAGGGTGCAGTGAGCCGAGGTAGTACCACTGCACTGCTGAGATCATGTTCGTAAAACTTTAGCTTTCAGTCCTCCTCCCGTCCTGATCTTGATCATATACTGTTAATACAGTTGCTTAAGCATTACTCCTTCAGAGAAGCTTAAGCAACAGTATTAACAGATAATAGTAACAAAATAGTTATTTTATACAATAATTAAGAACATAAAGAGAATCTTTAACGAGGGAATCAAATCAACTGAAAATCAGATAATTCCCACAACTGATACATACTGCTCAATAGTTGAAAAATTCCTCTACATCAAATCTTGTACCATAACTGTTACAGAGAGATACACTTCATTCTATAGTAGCATGTTTAACATGTAGATTATACAGAAATAGAACATTTTTAGGACAAACAAAAAAAGAGGCGGTGCTTAAAATACAAAGTAGGATTCCTCAGAAAACAAAAGCAAAGACTCCTTGAGAAGATCCTTATCTTTGTCTCCTCTGTTATATGAGAAGACTCATTTCTGCAGTGAGCTGACAATCCATCTGCACATTAGTGCAGACCACACTCCAACACACAAACTATGGCTTCACTAAGGTAATCAAAGGTCAGTGTCTGCCCACTGACTTATTAGGAAGTCATAAGGAGATGTGAACGCTGAACAACCTCCAGCTGAATCCCATGGACCCTTACTGTTACCTGTCATCCACCGTCTCAGTTTTGGATCTCTTGTTAAAGAGCATGGGTTTAGCAGAAAAGGAATCTGGGTCAACTGCATTCCTTCTCTTAAGCTGTTACTTGGGACAAATTGAGTTTCTCCATCTGAAAAAGTGGCATTCTATTTGGTTGACACAAACTTACTAACCATGATCATCAAAGCACATGCACATAGGAAATAATCAATAAATGTTAATATTTTCCTAGAAGACGGATGGGGGGACAGAAAAGGTAAAGTCAGGGTTTCTTGGCAGTGCAGAGGTTTGTACTGGTGCTTTTAAAAATACAGGGGGTGGGGACCCGGGTGCAGTGGCTCACGCTTGTAATCCCAGCATTTTGGGAGGTTGAGGCAGGCGGATCACCTGAGGTCAGGAGTTCCAGATCAGCCTGACGAAAACGGAGAGACATGTCTCTACTAAAAACACAAAAGTAGAGGGGCGTGGTAGCCTATGCCTGTAATCCCAGTTACTTGTGAGGCTGAGGCAGGAGAATCACTTGAACCCAGGAGGCGGAGGTTGCAGTGAGCCAAAATCGCGCCATTGCACTCCAGCCTGGGCAACAAGAGCGAAAACTACGTCTCAAAAAAAAAATTATATATATATATACACACAAATACATATATACATGGGGTAGGGTGGGAGAGAAGGAGCCTTCCCTCATCACTTCAGACAAGTTTCTCTCGCTTTTCAGAATTCATACAGCAAAGTATTTGGCATTTATAGTGTGCCTTGTATGGTCAGCCACATTTTCATACTATAAGAGTTTTTGTTTTAAAAGCAGATTTAACCCTCCTCTAAGAGTCTTCATATTCATTGACTATTCTAGGGCCCTACTTATTGCCAGTAGCAGTAAACAGTTGAGTAATAATACAGTACGGAGTGTGGGTCGGCTGCATTCACAGCGCTCAAGTGTGACAGTGGCTTTAAAGTGGAGGCCTCTTCCCAACGACCGATATAACCCTGGGAGGTACCCTTCCAAAGCCACACATTCATTCTCTTCCTGTCTTCTCGCGTACTGCTGGGATTTCTCTTTCCACTCCGGGGGACGGATCTGGATTTGTCATATTTACCGGCATGGAAGGAACGCTCGTAAAAAATTAGTTACTAGTATTACTAAGGCCGCACTGGCGGCGGCGGCGGCGCTGCAGCCACACCTACTCCGCTGCCGCGGCACCGGGAGCCCGAAGAAGGCGGGTCAGAGGGGCCACCGGGTCTCCGGGCGCCGCCCCCTCCTCGACTCCTTCGGGGAAGGTTCTCAGCGCGGGACCCGAGGCCAGGGCGCCCCGGGTGGAGGGGGACCAGCGGTCGGGCCGCTTGTCGCCCCCGCCCAAGCACGTGGGAGGCTGGCGAAGATGAGCACCCATCCCGAGAAGGGAGAGACCAGGCCTGGCAGGAGCCGCGGCCTGGGGAGACGCTGAGGTAAAGAATCCGGCGCCCGGACCGCGATCGTCCCGCAGCCTCCTCACCCGGGCGCTCCAGGACAACGGCTTCCCGAGGGCGGCCGCCAGAGCCCCTGCCTCCCCGCCTCCCAGCTCGGGTCACCCCGCGGGAGGCGGAGCTCTGCGGGGGCCGGGCCGGCCCTCCCCAGCCGAATGCCCCCTTCCCCGCGGGCGTCCCCTTGCCCCTCCGCCACTCACGGTGCTTGCCGCTGCCGCTGCCGCCGCCGCCGCCGCCGCTCGGGTAGCTCAGTAGCAGGAAGGGCAGTGGGGAGCCGGGCGACGGCGGGGTCCTCCAGGAGCGCTGCTGCTGCGGCGGCGGGCGCGCTCCGAAGCCGGCGCCTCCATCGCCGGAGTAGAGCAGGAAGAAGGGGGCGGCCACCGGCGAGTCCGGCTCCAACTGCCCGGCGGGGGAGGCGGGCGGCGGCCCCGCCTCGCTCTCTCGGTCAGTGCCCCCGGCGGGAGCGCGGCGCGGCTCCTCTGGCCGCCACTCCCCGCCCCTCGCCGGCTCCTCGCTGCAACTTTCGGCACCAGCGGTGGGCGGCGGCGGGGTCTCAGCCATGCTCGCTTCTTCCTTCGCCGCCGCCTCCGACTCGCGCCCGGGCCTGGGCGGGGGAGCAGAGGGTCAGGGCGAGGAGCCGCCGCCCCGTCCCGTCCGCGCCGCCGCCACCGCCACCTTTCTTCTTGGCCACGGGCTGGCGCCTGGGCTCGGCCGCTCGGTCCAGAGCCCGCCCCGCCGGGGTCCGAGCCAGCTGGAGGGACCGCCCCGCCCGACGGCGCGGCCTCGCTACCGGCCGCCTCCTCCCGCCCCTCCCGGCCCGGCCCCCAGCCTGTGACTCGGCTCCCCTAGGGGGCAGCGTCCTCCTCTTCCCACTCCTCTCCTTCCGCTTCCCTCCCGCGGGGCTGACTCCCTCCGGACCCTGGGGCCTAGGGCCTCGTCCTTACCCGCCCGGGTCGGCCCTCTTAAGGCGGTCAGGTGTGTCTGGCACTTGAAAGGTGAAAGACCTGGCGAAATACCTGGCGGCGTTTGGTCGTGTAACCGCCAACTTTATCGGTAGCACGAAGGCACAAAGATTTGGGTTGAAGAAGAGACGAAAGCTAATTTTAAAAAAGCACCTCCCTGCCCCCGGGTATTAACTGTACCATTTGCCTTTCACACACAGGAACTTAAACCATTGATTCACTGTTTTGATTAATGAGGTTTTTATGTGAGAAACCAAAGGTGGTGTCTTCCTTCCACCACCTCTTTTGTTCCCGTCTTGTGCGCTGTATTGAAATGGTGTATTTGCTTTGACTTTAAGTCCCAGGTTTTCTAGTGCCGCTGGTGCGCATGAGTGCATTTTAAACCAAATAGCTTACAATTTATACAAATGGCAATTACAGGTCGACAGTTTTCTCTTTCACAGTGCCCGTGTCTCGCTAGTAACTGGCCACCGTTGCTTTGAGTATTCGAATCAATGATTACTGATCTAGTAATTTCCTTAAGTAGACATTTCTTTCGGCAATAAAGACAATTTCCAGTGACTCTCATGGTTCTTTATCCTGGATTCCTAGGTGATTAGCCTTGTGTTTAATGCTGGCATAGAAGCCATGTTGACTCATAATTAAAAATCACTGTTGTGTAACATTTTGCCCACCTGCTTTTTCTTCTTCCTCTGTTCAGTCTTTCCCTGTGAGAGGAAGTTGTACTCCTTTGAAAGGAAAAGTAAACCTTTTTATTACTGTTGTTATTCTCTGTAAATCACTCTTGAATTCCTACTCGCAATTACCATAAGACTTACAATACTACTTTTCACTGAGTCTTTTAACAAGGAGCATTTAAAAAGTAAGTGTTTACAGGATAATTTTGAGCAGTCTTAGAACTTTTCAGATTCTGGCATTTCCTTGACCTGTTGATCTCAGTTCTACTACCTATTTGAATAAGTTATTTGTCCAGCTCTGTAAAATGATTATATTAATCATAGATATTGTGAGGGCTAAATAAGAAATAGAAATAAAGTCTTTAAAATACAACTTAACATTGTATTTAAATTGGCTTAAATAATAATTAGTAGTACTTCAGCAGCACATAAACTAAAATTGGAACAATACAGAAAAGATTAACATTCTCCTGCATGAGGATGACCTGAAAATTTGTGAAGCATTCCATATTAAAAAATTATTATTATTATTAGGAATATTTTATCATTTTGGCAAAACCGCATTTAACTTACAATAATAAAAACATACTGAGTTGAGGAAAAAAGCCTTTGCATCATACCTTTAGCATTTTGAAGGTGGTTTGGGTCTTAACTCAGTGTAGGTGAAAATCTCGATAGGAAGATCTATTTGTCTTTTAGGAATTGCTAACTGTATGATACCCTGATAAGAAAAACTGAAAGCATTTGATACAGCAATCCCATTACTGGGTATATACCCAAAGGATTATAAATGATTCTATTATAAAGACATATGCACACGTATGTTTGTTTTTTAATTTTATTTTTTTCCCATTTATTTATTTTATTGCATTTTAGGTTTTGGAGTACATGTGAGGAACATGCAAGATTGTTGCATAGGTACACACGTGGCAGTGTGATTTGCTGCCTTCCTCCCCATCACCTACATCTGGCATCTCTCCCCTTGCTATCTCTCCCCAACTCCCCACCCCCCACCGTCCCTCCCCTATTTCCCCCCAACTGACCCCAGTGTGTAGTGCTCCCCTCCCTGTGTCCATGTGTTCTCATTGTTCAACACCCGCCTGTGAGTGAGAACATGCGGTGTTTGATCTTCTGCTCTTCTGTCAGTTTGCTGAGAATGATGGTTTCCAGGTTCATCCATGTCCTTACAAAGGACACAAACTCATCGTTTTTCATGGCTGCATAATATTCCATGGTATATATATGCCACATTTTCCCTGTCCAGCCTATCATCGATGGGCATTTGGGTTGGTTCCAGGTCTTTGCTATTGTAAACAGTGCTGCAATGAACATTCGGCACACGTATGTTTATTGAAGCACTATTTACAATAACAAAGATTTGGAACCAACCCAAATGCTCATCAGTGATAGGATGGATAAAGAAAATGTAGCACGTTGGCCCAGTGCAGTGGCTCACACCTGTAATCCCAGCGCTTTGGGAGGCTGAGGCTGGGGGATCACTTGAGGTCAGGAGTTCGAAACCAGCCTCGCCAATATAGTAAAACCCCATCTCTACAAAAAAAAAAAAGAAAGAAAGAAAGAAAGAAAATGTAGCACATACACACCATGGAATACTATGCGGTCATAAAAAAGAATGAGTTCATGCCCTTTGCAGGGGCATGGATGAAGGTGGAAACCATCATTTTCAGCAAATTAACACAGGAACAGAAAACCAAACATCACATGTTCTTACTTATAAGTGGGAGTTGAATAATGAGAACACATGGACACAGAGAGGGGAACATCACACATCGTGGCCTGTTGGGGGTCGGGACAAGGGGAGGGGAACTATTCGAAGAAATACCTGATGTAGATGACGGGTTAATGGGTGCAGCAAACCACCATGGTACATGTATACCTGTGTAACAAAGCTGCATGTTCTGCACATGTATTCCAGAACTTAAAGTATAATTAAAAAAAAAGAAAAACTGAAAGTTTCCAGATGCATTATATGGTTTTAATGCCCATCCTTAATTGGATTCCTTATCTTATTTTTACATGCAGAAATTCCAAAATACCATTATAGTCTCATCAAGTTTCTTCAGAGATGTTTTACAATGTTTCAGTGTTTTACAAGAATTTGACAAAAATCTATACTTAACCACTGTAGGTAGAAGAAATAAGAGCAGAGTCCTAAGGCCGGGCGCGGTGGCTCACGCCTGTAATCCCAGCACTTTGGGAGGCCGAGGCGGGTGGATCACGAGGTCAAGAGATCAAGACCATTCTGGTCAACATGGTGAAACCCCATCTCTACTAAAACTACAAAAAATTAGCTGGGCATGGTGGTGCGTGCCTGTAATCCCAGCGACTCAGGAGGCTGAGGCAGGAGAATTGCCTGAACCCAGGAGGCAGAGGTTGCGGTGAGCCAAGATCGTGCCATTGCACTCCAGCCTGGGTAACAAGAGCGAAACTCTGTCCCAAAAAAAAAAAAAAAAAAAAAAAAAAAAAAAAAAAAAAGCAGAGTCCTCACAGATCATTCTTGAGAAAGGCCAATACTCAGCCAAGGGTGTCACGAAATTAAAATATGAAATATTACCTAGTCTGAATTGCCAGCTTTCTCCTTTCTTGTTAGTTAAGATACCCACAGGTATAGAAATATTGATATGCTGTGGAGTCATCCAGTGTGTTGGATTTTTGTGCCTCTATTTAAAAAAATTTTTTTGTAAAAATATAGAATGCTTCACGAATCTGCATATCATCCTTGCACAGGAGCCATGCTAATCTCTGTATTGTTCCAATTTTAGTATATGTGCTGCTGAAGTGATCCCTGTGCCTCTATTTATAAAAAGAGTTATATTTATGTTTTGTGTAATTAATTAAATGGAAAATTGATGCAGAAAATCAACTGAAATATGAGTTTTAAAATTTATAGACAAGGCTATTTATGAACTTTAAAGGTGGATGATACTCCAAGTTCTTAGTTTCTTAAGGCTTTTTTAACTTTTGAATCAATAATATAATCACAGCTCTGCATTAGCTTTAGTGATATAAAGGGCTGATTCAGCTGCTGTACACATTTAAGGAAGCCAAGATTATAAAAACAAGCCTGAACATGTTGCTCCTTCTTGCAAATGCACAGAGCATCTTCTGATACTGTTTTAAAGTGACAACATCCGAGCACTATAATTAAGAATCAAGCTCTATTAATAAAGCTGGAGGCTTTTCAACTTTATCTGCATTTTATTTTTAGTTATCCATGTTTGGTTTTTAAAAAATCCTTTGGTGGCCCTGGTGCGGTGGCTCATGCATGTAATCCCAGCACTTTGGGAGGCTGAGGCGGGTTGATCACGAGGTCAGGCATTCAAGACCAGCCTGGCCAACATAGTGAAACCCCGTCTCTACTAAAAATACAAAAAATTAGCCAGGCCTGTTGGCGGGCGCCTGTAATGCCAGCTACTCGGGAAACTGAGGCAGGAGAATCTCTTGAACCTGGGAGGTGGAGGTTGCAGTGAGCTGAGATCGTGCCACTGCACTCAGCACGGATGACAGTGCAAGACTCTGTCTGAAAAAGAAAAAAGAAAAAGAAAAAAATCCTTTGGTGATCTTAAGGATGGATACTTAAAAATATATTACAAAACTTTTTAGAGATTAATGTTATGGACAAAAAAATATTTTTAGTAAAGTGTAAACTTTTTAAGAGCTGTGAATGAGGCCAGGGTGCGGTGGCTCATGCCTATAATCCCAGCGCTTTGGGAGACTGAGGCAAGAAGATCATTTAAGACCAGTAATTTGAGACCAGCCTGGCCAACATGGCAAAATCCCATCTCTACAAAAAATACAAAACAAACAAAAAAACCCACGAGAGCTGTGAATCAGAGAAGATAACACTTGAGGCGGGACGTGGTGGCTCACATCTATAATTCCAGCATTTTGAAAGGCCGAGGCCCAGCTAAGATCTAGGCTGTCTTCTCTGATATACTTCCATCCATGAACATCTAATAATCCCTTACCTCTTCCTATGTTAGGGATTTCTAAACATTTTCTCCATTGTGTTAAGACTAGTTATGTACTTGTCTTGGCCGGACACAGTGGTTCATGCCTATAATCCCAACACTTTGAGAGGCCAAGGTGGGCATATCACTTGAGGCCAGGAGTTCAAGACTAGCCTGGCCAACATGGTAAAACCCCTTCTCTACTAAAAATACACAAATTAGTTGGATGTGGTGCCACAGGCATATACTCCCAGCTACTAGGGAGGTTGAGGCAGGAGAATCGCTTGAACCTAGGAGGAGGTTGCAGTGAGCCAAGATTGCATCACTGTACTCCAGCCTGGGTGACAGAGTGAGACTCTGTCTCAAAAAAAAAGAAAAAAACAAAAAGGGAAGATACCACTTCAGAAGTGTTGATATTCTTTTTCAGTATAGTATATAGATTTAATATGATTCCAAAATAATGATTTTCTTGAGTTATTTGGTTTATATCGTATGGCACTTGGGAAAGCCATATTTGAAAACAGTGTACTCAATTTAAGCCTTTGTGTTAAACTTATTTTAATAAATGTAGAAATTTATTGATACTAATTAATATAATGCCTTATTGTGAAAGCTGAGTCCATTGTTCTTTTGAATTACTAGATTTCGATGGCTGTAACTTAATTACTTATTTTTTCAAAACATTCATTATAAAAACACCTAGTTACAACATTGTAGTGTGGGGATAAAATAAAGAATATTTAAAAATTTATATTTAAGGCCAGGTGTGGTGGCTCACACTTGTAATTCCAGCACTTTGGGAGGCTGAGGTGGGTGGATCACCTGAGGTCAGGAGTTCGAGACCAGCCTGGCTACATGGCAAAACCTCATCTCTAATAAAAATACAAAAAAATTAGCCTGGCGTGGTGGCAGGTGCCTGTAATCACAGCTACTCGAGAAGCTGAGACAGGAGAATCTCTTGAACCTGGGAGGCAGAGGTTGCGAGCTGAGCTCGAGCCACTGTGCTGCAGCCTGGGTGACAGAGCAAGACTTCATCTTAAAATATACATACATATATATATATACACACACACACACACACAAATATATATGTATGTATAAAATAAATAAAAATATCTAGTCAATTTATATCTCCTCTCTATTGTAGAAACTTTTAAGAAGTAAAAGCAGGCTGGGCGTGGTGGCTCACGCCTGTAATCCAAGCACTTTGGAGGCCAAGGTGGGCGGATCACCTGAGGTCGGGAGTTCAAGATCAGCCTGACCAACATGGTGAAACCCCATCTTTATTTAAAAAAAAAAAAGAAAAAGAAAAAGAAAAAAAGAAGTAAAAATAATATATTTATCTACCTTGAGTAGGATGAAGAAAAAAATAAAAGTAATATATTTGGTTTAATCAATGACAGTTTTCTTTGGGTGTAGACATATGGATATATTTTTCCATTTTTGTACTTTTCTGTATTTGCAAGTAGTCTGTAATGGATGCATTGCTTTTAAATAGAAAATAAAACACATTGAGGGGCTATTTTGATTCATAGTTTCATAATTATATCTTTTTTATGAAGACCTAACAGTAAAGTTGTGTTCCTTGTATATACTGTGGTGAAATAGAATTCAAGAGGAGCTGATCATATTTGTGTCTTTTTTGAGTGTTTATTATTATTATTTTAGAGATGGAGGCTCTCTACGTTGCCCAGGCTGCTGTTGAACTCCTGGCTTCAAGCAATCCTCCCACCTCAGCGTCCAGAGTTAGTCAAGATATGCAAAAACAATATTCAAGAACAATATTCAAATAACATAATCATTGCTGGAAACCATAGTGAGTTCCTACTACAATTTCTTTTGCCAAAATTTGAGATTATTCTTACTTTCAAATTTCTAAATAATCTCCTTGGGCATAAATGGAAATATGTAGTTTATAATAATATCATACTTACGGGTCAATTATTTTCAGTATTATGAATGGCTAAATCAGAGAATTGAAGAAAGATTTCTCCTACTTCTGCATCACTGACAATACATTGCTTTACAGGTCTAAAGAGACTCCAGAGACACCTCAGCCTACAGCATAGCTGAGATTACAGGTGTGAGCCACCAGGCCCAGCTAGTGTTTATCTTAATAATGTTGCTGGCCGGACACAGTGGCTCATGCCTGTAATCTCAGCACTTTGGGAGGCCGAGGTGGGCGGATCACGAGGTCAGTAGTTTGAAACCAGCCTGGCAAGCATGGTGAAACCCCATTTCTACAAAAAATACAAAAAAAAAAAAGCCAGACATGGTGATGTATGGCTGTAGTTCCGTCTACTCGAGAGGCTGAGGCAGGAGAATCGCTTGAAGCCGGGAGGCGGAAGTTGCAGTGAGCCGAGATCGTGCCACTGCACTCCAGCCTGGGTGACAGAGTGAGACTCTGTCTCGAATAATAATAATCATCATGATGATGTTGCTGAAGATTTCTATGAACGTATCCAGTTTGTCCCAACTCTCATGCTTTCTCCTTCAGCTTTTTTTTTTGTGATAGAGCTTGGCTCTTGTTGCCCAGGCTGGAGTGTAGTGGCGCTGTCTTGGCACACTGCAACCTCTCCTCCTGAGTTCAAGCAATTCCCTTGCCTCAGCCTCCAGAGTAGCTGGGATTACAGGAGTGCACCACCATGCCCGCCTAATTATTGTATTTTTAGTGGAGACGGGGTTTCACCATTTTGGTCAGGCTGGTCTCAAATTCCTAACCTCAAATGATCCACCCGTCTCCGCCTCCGGAAGGGCTGGGATTACAGGCATGAACCACGGCGCCCAGCCTGTCCTCTGCTTTAAAGCTTTATCTTTTCTTGCCGGTATTATTGCAAAGGACTCCTCATTGTTTTCCCTGCCTCTGGTTTTAATCTATTCCAGTTGCCCTACTCTACGGCAGCTAGAATGAGTAATTTACTTTTCTGAACTTTCACTTAATTATGCCACATCGTTTCTTAAAAATCTGGGTTCACTTATTTATATCTGGGATACAATCTAAGTGCATTGACTACCTACTAAGGTCTTTGATGATCTAACCCCTTTGTATCTTTCCAATATTATCCTCCTATCTTGTCTTACCCCTTGTTGCCATTGGCTAAGCTTTAACATGTTTGACATTACTCATATTGTGGTACCTACTCTTCCTCTCCCAAATTCTACTCAAAAAAGATCTGTGAAAGTTTCTCTGCTCACCCCATGTAGAGAGGTACACTGCCATTTTTGAGGTCCCATAGCATCCAATTTGAGCAGTTAATTGCTTTAATTGTAATAAATCTATGCCTCTTCCCAGTTAGCATCCTTTTTTTCTCCTTTTTACAATGCACAAAAGATTTATTTTTTGTACTACTTATTCCTTGTACTATTCCTAAGTAGCTCTCAGGCCCCCTCATTTTATTTTTTATTTTTTTGAGACGGCCTCCTTCTCACCCAGGGTAGAGTGTAGTGGCGCAATCATGGCTCACTGCAGCCTTGACTTCCCAGGCTCAAGTGATCCTCCCACCTCAGCCTCGAAAATAGCTGGGACCATAGGCACATGCCACCATGCCCAGCTAATTTTTGCATTTTTTAGTAGAGGCAGGGTTTCACTCTGTTGTGTAGGCTGGTCTTGAACTCCTGTGCTCAAGTGATCTGCCCAAGTTGGCCTCCTGAAATTCTGAGATTACAGGTGTGAGCTACCACACCCAGCCTCACTTATTTTTAAGGCTCTTTCCTCTTAAGATCACATAAAAATTCTTTGATTCTCTCTGTGACCATCAGGTATCTGAATAAAAGGAATTTAAAAAAAGAAACTAGACTGAATAAGAAGCTTAAGGAGTAACTTATTTAGCTTACAT